GAAGTTCTTTCTCTTCCAAGTCTTCATTGTTTCTAATACAGTAACAAACATTCTTACCAGTAACAATATCAAAATCTACTTAGTTTGTAACCTACCACATCTATTGCACTTTGACAATTCATCGCTCCAATACTTTTCTTCACACCTTTCACAAACCATGTCATCTGAAATTCATTCCCAAGTTACTTTACTATGGACTCTTATTTGATGAATGGATTTGTTATTTTTGTTTTCAAATTTAGAGCAGAAATCACAAGTTTTTTTGCTTTCTTTTTCTAATTCTAAAACTGTGTATTCCAACTCTCTCATTGTAATTTACTTGTTATTTAGACTTAACTTCTACTTGAGCAATCATTTCTTGGTTGTGAAATTTTTCCTTTTTGATTAACTTTTGTAATTTTTGGAGTTTAACTTTTGCTTTGGTTTTTAACTGCTTAAACATGCTCTGTTTAGTTGATGACTTGCTTTCTTCTTCTATAGGTAAAGCAGGTAAAGGTTTATTGTTTAAATAGAATAAATTTTCATTTTGCAATTCACTGTCAGTTAATTGCTTGCTTAGTTTTTCTATTTTTTTGCTTTTTTGACTTGATTCTTCCTCCAACTTTTCAACTTGTGCTTCTAGATGAGAAATCTTTTTGCTAGAACTTTTGAGTTTCTTGTTTTTCTCTTTTATATCTTCTGCTTGATTTTTGCTTCACTTTTCACCAACTGTTAAGATTTCCTTAACTTGTTCTTGTTCTATTTTTACTCTCTCTTTTAACTCTTTTACCTCTGCCTCCAAATTTTCTTGTTCTGCTTCTAATGCCTTAATTTTCTCCTGTTCAGACTTGGAAAGAGCTTGAAAGGATTCCCTTAATTCTGCAAATTGTTCCTTGGGAATTCTTGAAGAACAACCACAACCACAACCTTTTTCTAAAAAATTGATTGCCTTTTCATATTCATTAGAACCATTATAATTATTATTTTTCATATATGGATAATCCTATATATTAGTTTTACACTTCATTGGTTTTGTTTAAAAATAAATAAATAAAAATAGTCAATCATTTAATGTTTTTTAATTATTTAATTAAGATTTTTTGAATTTTTCTTCTTTTCTGCACCATTTATAGTGCTGCGGATTCCAATTATCACAATATGTCTCTGAAAAGCTATTAATTAATATTAATGTAATAATAATATATATAATAAAACAGCAATGATTTTTTGGTTTCATTTTTATTGGCAAAAAATTAATTGTAATTCATATATATTTCATTCTCAAAAGGCATTCTTAAACTGAAATTTTTAGAACATAATTAACATAAAAGTTATTACATAAACCTTAACTAAGATTATTATTATGTACAATCAGTTTATCATTAACATAATTAAAAATACCAGAGCTATCTATGAATCGAGTACTCATTCGCACATTTTTAAACTTTTCATCATGCAAGAAGTGTACAATATTAAGCTTGCTCAATTCTTCATTAGATGGATAATAGGGATTTTGGGTTGAGTTATCCTCACACGTAAAATGTACTATCCAAACATCTTCCGCAGATAGCTTATTCCCATATTCAAGTGCTTGTACAAAGTGTTCATTGAGTTGTGTTTTAGTCGCAGTAGCTAGAAGTTCCAAAACAATCGTCTGATGTGGAGTTTTAATTACAAGATCACTATATATGTGTTTATCTTTTTTGTTGGCATGATATTCTACCAAATGCCACTGAGAAGAAACCTCAAAACTATGTTGTTTGGAAATCCAGTTGATTAAGATCCTGTTCATCTCTATATCATAGACACTTTCTCAGGGAACATGTTTGTTTTTTTGACCTTTCACATATACATTATGTGCTGTTTTAAATGACCGATAGTATGCTCTAGAAATGATGTCTTGGTCAAAGAATTGGACAACTGTCTTCAAAACATTGACAGTATCAAGGAATCCATCATGTTTTTCAGGAACTGCAACTGTTGGGGAGGACTTGAATAATTCAGGAATGACTCTTTGTCAAACCAGCTCATCTACAAAAACAGATGACATTTTAAATCTATCTTTGGTCTCTTCATCCCTAATTAGCACACCCTCAGCTGTTAGGAATTCTGCTAAATTTCTTTCTTCATTGTCAACAATCTGTACTAAATCAAAGAATCCTATGAATGTAGATCGAATAAGTTGCATGGCTTTCCTGGCTTTATCCTTGGTAAGTATATGGACCATCTTTCTAAAGGTGGCATAATCTAGTACTGATTTTTGCAATGAACTAATGGTGAAGTTTAACCAGGTTAAAAAGTCAAGCCTTCTTCTTTCATCAAGCTTCCTTATTAAATCTACATAAATAGCTTTTCTGCAAAGGCATACAAGGCCAGCATGTCTGTCAAATAACAGAATCATGGAAAGTAAATTTTTGATTTTTTGTTTTGTCATGTGACTATGATAAAATTCACATACCCATTTGTCCATGTGTAAATGTCTTCAATTATTGCTGGATCAATAATGAAATCATAGTCATGTGCAAAGTTTCTATATAATAACTGTACTTGCTCCTTTGTGAAATTTGGATTTTGGAATGGATCTTTTACATTGAATGGTGACATACTCCTGTTTGAACTCAAATGTAAGATACTGAAGGGACTGACAGCCACAGAAGACCAGAGAGAATATTTATCTTTTGCATTTTTAATGCCATGGATGGCCCCAAGGAATGAGGCTTTAATATCATCACCTGCCTCATACAATGCATCATATTCATCAATAAAGAGAACCACCCTTTTTTTACACTTGTCTTTACTAAAAAATCTAGCAAATTCACTAGCAGATTTGATACCAGCAAATTTGATATCAGAAGTGCCATCAATTTCAAAAGAATGGCCAAGTGATATCCAGAATTTATCTACAGATTCTATGTTAACCAGCTCGAGAGTTACACTGTTCAAAAGAGAAAAGAAACAGAATCAACAATTAGACTCCATAAATGTGATCAATTCACTTTAAACAGAGCTCATTAAACAGAGCTTACTAAATACAGATAAAGCCTTCATCTATCAACTGTTCCTTAACTTGAATCACACGTGTGGATTTTCCTGAAGCACATGCACCATATAAAGCAACAAATTCACCTCTCCGAATCATATCAAGAAATGGAACACTATCCTTCATTGGATCAACAAAGTATACATTATTACACTCTGAATTTGGAATGGCACTATCAACTGTCCATCTTCTTTTATTTCCTTCTGTAACTGCAGAGAATTATTTGTAAGAACAATGAAATAAAATATACAGACAGGTATGAAAACAAGTTTCTATCACATCTTTCTTACGTTCTTCCATTGCTTTTCTTTTCCTCTCTAGCTCCAAGCCCTTAATTTTATCATCTATGAGCATTATAAATAAAAAGTCAATGCTAGCTTAGTAATATATCTCCATGATTAAGTGTAATTTACAAGAAAAAAACAAGTTGGACAACATTGTAACCAGTATATCAAACAATCAAATAAATAAATGAAATGGAATGAATAAAAAATAATTTTTTTTATATTGGTGATTCCGCCTATGAATCAATGAATGACATTTTTTATAATAACTAAATATTTATCAGCCTTCAATGTAATAAACCAACATTTACATTTGAGATCTTTACCTGTCACTTTCTCACTTTTCAATTTTCTTTTCAACCTTTCTATTTTTAACTCTAACTCTTCTACTTTCCTTTTCAAATTCTAAAAAGGATGATTGTTTGTGCGAATAATTGTATATAAAAATTATTTTATGTTGAATTAGTGTTTACAATATTGAATACTATTTATTGAAATAAATACTTTTTCATTTTCTTTATCATCATTTACACTAATAAAAAAAAAGAAGTTTATAATTAACTAGAGTGACGACAAGTGGCAACAATTGCAATAACCACCAATCTTTATATATAGTAATGAATGATGGTACTTGTTCCATTCACGTTCAATTAAATTGGGGTGGTGTTTGAATTTCACATGAACCAAGTAAAAAACAACGTCCTTTTTATTAAACAATACTTTTAATCATTATTTTTTTATTTTTTTTATAATATATGATAATACAATACAATCACTATTTATCCAACAAACAGGAATTGTTATTAGATAGCACTTATAAAATAATAATAATAATAATAATTAATTAAATACAGATGATGATGATTATGATTTTGATTATGATTATGAATATGATTATGATTATGTAAAATAAATATGAGTATGAATGAGAAAATTTTGTGAAATATAATACACATTGCATTATGAACATGATTAATTGAAAATGATTAAAAAAAACGATTAAATTGATTTTAATTATGACCCATAGAATTTTGAAAAACATTTTTCTACTAAAGGTGTACTTGGTTGACTCTTGCTGACCATTCCTTGCACTTGTATCCCATTGACCTCCACGCCAGATCCAACACTACGGAAAGTATCATACAAATTATTTTTATGACTATTTACATTGTTGTTATTATTTGAAAGTACAGCGAGACTACGAACTTTACGTAAACGTAAGGATGGATATTTTGGGGGTGGACTTGAAGGTGCGATTTTCAATGTAGAAGAAGCTGATGACGAAGAAGAAGAAGAAGACGACGACGTGGATGATGACGTGGATGATAAACTTGGATTTGTTGTGTCGAATGAAAAGGCAATACTCCTACTAGTAGTTGCTGTATCATTATTATTATTATTAGTATTATCCAATGGGTCAATGGTCAATGATGATATGATTGAATTGGACCCATTTTCTGTAAAAATTTCTCTAATTATATCTTTTTGTTCATCATAACCTTCAAACATCAAATCAAAATATTCTATTGCCAATCTCATCAATAATCCAACACCACCACCAACATTTGGGTCATTAGGATTTAATAAACAATGTTGAATATCAATCTTTGGATTTCCACTGTGTACCAGATTAGGAGCGAACACAACAGCCAAGTTATATGGTGTCATTAGATTTTTGTCATGACGTTTAGAAATTTCGTGAAGTAGTGAGCAGACATATCTCAAAAGAACAATCACAGCAGGTGATAATAATGGGAAAACTGATGATCTGATGTATTCAATTCTTTTCACGTAATCTGGTTTTGATTGTATAAACTTAAGTGCATCATAGGTTTCTGCTGGAAAGACTGCGATTGGTAAATGACTAAAAAACATTTTTAAAAGTACTGCTGCTACATGAACACCATAATCTTCTAGATTAACAGGATTTCCTATAATATTATAAATAGCATACAATATGTTTGAAATACACATTATTTTAATATTATTATAGTTGTAAATATTTATAACCTGCCATAAAAATATAAATAAATAAATGATTTGGATATAAACCTCTGTTATATGCTGCCATTGCTTGTTTCAATAATAATGAACTAGGCGATCTACGAAAAACGCCTTCAGTATCCAATCCTATATAAGAGTAAAAGTTTTTATCAATATTAACATTAATATTCCTATTATTATTATTATTATTATTAAATATATTAAATCTATAATTATGTTATACCTTCAGATCTTAAATATGTAACACATTCTTTGACTACACTGGGTAATCCTTTCTCGCCTTCTAAACCCATCAATGTTTCAATGGGAACGTTAAACACTGATGTTTCATCTTCATCATAATTGGGTGAAGGTGGTAAAGTTATTTTATCTTCAAATTTTAAATTATGTCTATTTGAAAATTTTAAAATGTTCAATAAAGTAATAAAATTAATCAATAATATTAAATCATCATGATCATGATGATCACTATTATTATCATGTTGTCATCAACATGTTAAAATTAATTATTGCATCATACTTACTCATAGACGGCTGGGGGTATATCAATTTGTGTAATAGGAACATATATAGCTAATTGTGATAAACTGTTAATATATTTTATTTTCCTAGAAAATTTCGGGCTTTTTTTAAAAAAATAATAATATTAATAAAAACACATGTATAATTATAAAAATTATGACGCATATAAAAATAAAATACCTAATCATTGCATTCATAAAATCAAGAGAAAGACGTGCCCAGGTTGCTGGTTGTACTATATAAAAGGATTTAAGGTTTTTCTTGTACCTATTATTTTTAAATAGAAAATTATAATATATTTTAAATAATTGTAATTATTTACGATAACATTATTATTGATAACCTACTTTCTACTTAAACTCTTGTATGCTTTGAACATCCATGTCCAACCTGGTTTATGTTTTGCCCCACCCGTAAAAAGTACAACTGTATAATCACTTTCAACAAATAGATCAAGTTTATACAAAATACGTCTGATATATATATTTTTCAGAGGGAAAGAAACCATCAATATGTACATGCGTATATATATAAATAATATTATACGATATAAAAAATAAAATTAGAATAATAATCATACGATAAGATTCGATCATAGCCAACTTCTGCAGGATCGGGTAAATTACAGGCACAAATTATTACCATGGGTTTACTTTCAAAATCAACACCTTAATGAAATTTTTATATGAATATAGAAATATGAATAAGGAGTAAAATAAGGAATGGGGAATGGGAAAAGAAAAGGAGAAAAAATAAAAACAGGGAAAAAAATTTTTAATTTTTTTTTACCAGCTTGATAAATAATTTTGGAATACACATATTCAGCTAAAGCCTCTTCGTCGAGTGAAGTTCTAGAGACTTGTTGTTGTCGTAATTCAGGAGATACTCTGAAAAAATATTTCCACATTATAAATATATATATCCTTTATTTTCTTTATTTTTTAGAAATAATTTTATTTTAGATAATAAATAGGGGGTGTAAAAGAAAGAGGAAACAAAATTTTTATTTACAATAAATATAACGTTTGTGTTAGTGTTGTTGTTTTCTTTAAGAGAAAAAACTAATAAATATTATGAATATCATAGATCCCCAAAAACTTTTAATTGAGGACCCTGAAAAAATCGAAGGCTTGGAGGTTTTGTTTGTTTACGACTATCTTGCAACATTGTAAAAATAGCATTTGTGGAAAAATAAAAAGTAAATAATGTAAAGCCCAAAAAATCGTGCATTATTAATATTTATTGTAAATATGTATGTAATAAGTTTTTATTGAATTATATTACAAGAATTTTGATAACCATCACCATACAAAACATCATTTTGTTCATCACAACTTTCGGCATATTGATTATTATGACAACCAGCTCCTTGGTAATCATCCATAACTCATATATAAAGGATCGCGCCGGCAGGCAACCATATAAGAATTTTCACCTTGATTAGACCATGATAGTTGTTCGCTGCAATCATCACAGCATTGAACCGAATGGCTTTCTTGGCTACAAGATTCATAATTATTGTCATATGCTTCACCACCACTTTCAATAAATTTTGGCCCACCACACGATAATGGTAGTTCTCCATCACATAATTGTGCTCCTGTACCCACTCCTAATGGTAAAGGTTGTATTTCGTCACGTTTATTATTGTTATCAGATGTAATTGAGAATTTAGGTAATGCAAAAGTTGTACTAACAATGGATGTGATGATTATAATCGTTATGATATAGATTGTGATTTTCAACATTTTTAATTTTTATTCTTTTGCTTTCTTTTTGTTAGGAAAAATATTTTGATTGAAGAAATTGAAGAGAACATCTAGTTGAATAGTTCCTTATATAATTATTATAATAATTGTTCTTTAATTAATCAATTAATTTGTTTAAATTATTTATTATATTAATTAAACGGCCAGCAATATAAAAATTTATTAATCAATTAAATCATTTAATGAATTCACTTTATTTATTTATATATTGATAGGTGTGTGCACGTTTTATGTTACACCAATAATCAATTTGCAAGGCAAATAGTTTTTTGGTCAGTAAAGAAATCGATACTGTATTCACCTCCTTCTCTTCCCAAACCTATTTATCAACATTGATTTAAAAAAATATATATACATCATGACTTTTTTTAATTCAAATTAACAATAAATCACAATCACAAATAGTTGATTATTTACTTACCGCTTTTTTTTACTCCACCAAATGGCAATCCCAGATCTCTAATCAACCAACAATTTACCCATACAGTTCCTGCTTGTATTGCTTCAGCAACACGTCTTGCACGTTTACCATTTCCACTCCATACCGAGCAACTTAAACCATATTCAGTATCATTTGCATACTCTATAACTTCTTCCTCACTTTCAAATGTATGAATAGTCACAACCTATATAATTCATATATATATATGTGTGTGTATGTTGATTATATTATATTTGGAGGTTATAATAAATGATGAACCAAGGTGCTATTTGTATTACTTACAGGTCCAAAAATCTCTTCTTGTGCTACACGACAAGATGGCTTAACACTAATTCAATTAATTTAAATTTTTGATCAATTAATTTAAATGACAAATGAAACAATCAATAAAAATAATATTTACTTTGTGATAACTGTTGGTTCAACGAAATAACCTTCACACAATTCACCATCATCCATCAATTTACGTTTACCGCCACACTCAATAACACCACCCTCTTGTTTTGCTAATTCAATATATCCAAGCACTTTTTCCATATGTTGTTTACTAACCAATGCACCAACTTGAGTTTTGGAATCTTTAGGATCGCCAACAATCAATTTCTGAGCTTTTTCAATGAATGAGCTGAGGAATTTTTTATAAATAGTTGATTGAACAAATATTCGAGATCCACATAAACAAATCTAATGATATATTTATAATTAATAATAATCATAATGGTAATAATAATGTAATTATGTTGTTTAGTACCTCTCCTTGATTACTAAAAGCTGCTTTAATACTTGTGTCAACAGCATTATCAAAATCGCAATCATCAAAAATTATATTGGGATTTTTTCCACCTATGCAATATATTGTGTGATTTAATTATTGAAGAGGGGAGAAAAAACCATAAATTTTTTTATTATTTTTTACCAAGTTCCAATGAAATTTTTTTGAAAAATGGCGCACTCGTTTCAAGAACCTTTTTTCCAGTCGCAGTTCCTAAAACGCACAAAAAGAATAAATATATTATAGTTTTTTTTTTACAAACGCAAATGCACAAATATATATATGTAAATGAAATACCCACCTCCTGTGAATGAGATTAATGGAACTTTTGGATGAGAAACTAAAGCTTGACCTGCATTTGATCCTAAGTAATAAAGCTCATATTATTATTATTTTATTCTTCTTTTTGAAAAAAAAAATAAATGAATGAATATGAATATGAATATAAAAACCTGATCCAAACACAATATTAACAACGCCATCAGGTAAACCAGATTCCTTAAGAACAGAGCAAAACACTTTTAAGGAAATCAAATCAGGTTAGATTGGATGTAAAACTCATTATTATTATTTATTTTCATCTTCCTTTGAAAAATAATTATATTAATCTATTGTATGCAAGGAAATATTTACTGGATGCAGTAACACTTGTAAGTTCACTAGGTTTTACTACACATGTACATCCAGCTATTTCAGGAAAAAAAATTCTTGTTAATTATTTATATTTATATTATTAATTTTTATGATTTGATTTGGATTTTTACCTGCAATACATGGAGCCAGTTTCCATGTTAAAAGATATAATGGTCTTTAAGTGGGAAGGAAAAAATAAATTTATTAATTAATAATTGATTAATTGCTCAATTTGTTGATCAATCAATTATAAAATATACTTGCAAATTCCACTAATTATTAGAAAAATCAAATTTAATAAAAAATTTAGTACGGAAATAGTACAAATAAACAAATAAAAAGAATTACAGGGGAAATCAATCCAGCTACGCCAATGGGACATCTTTGAACATAGTTTAATGAAACACCATCCAACACATGAGCTTTTTCTTGTGTGTGAAGAATATAACCAGCAAAATATCTAAAATTATAGATCGATCTATTAATGTCAACATTGGTTGCAAAAGTAATAGTTTTGCCTTGATCTTGTACTTCAGCTTCAGCAAATTCATTTAATCTAGCTTCAAGTAAATCTGCTATTTTGTACATAATTTTTGATCTGATTTGTACTGATGTTTTTGACCATTTTAAAAATGCTTTTTGAGCAGCGTGTACTGCTTGATCTATTTCTTGTTTACTAGAATCTGGAATTTTTGCATGAACCTTTATATAATATTATATATATATATATATATATAAGTTATAATCATGATCCTTATAATTTTTACAATTTAAATATCTCTTTCTTTTTTTACCTTTCCAGTTGAAGGATTATAACTATCAATATAGCTTTCTTCTTTTAGAGATAAAAATTCTCCACCTATAAAATTTTTTAATAGCAACATTTTTCTTGTGAAAAAAAAAATGTGAGAAAAAGTAACAATTAAACCAATTATATTTATTTTTGATTATTTATTTGTTTATTATATATACAAATATAGATTGATAATGAATGAAAATCAGCACATTTAATTAAAAAAAAAGGAAAAATTGAAATTGTTCATAAAATAAAAAAATAAAATGATATAACACTATTATTAAATTGTTATTAAACCATTATCGTTATTCTCCTACATCAAAATTTCCATCTGATGGCATTCTTAATGCGGCAAAAACTTTTTTCATTGGATCAACAATTAATTCATTGGTTGATGGTGGTGAAGGTGGCGAAGGTGCAGAGATTGATGTTATTGTTGATAATGCCGGTTTTCTCTAATTAATAAAAAATTATGTTATTAAATGATATTTTAAAAAGAATGAGAATAAATTTTGTTGACTAATTTTACCTTGATTTTAAATTCTTCGACAGATCGATCTGTTATTTCTGGTTCCTGGTTTGAAGGTGATATTGTGGTCGTTGTTATCGGTATATTATCGTTATCATTATCAATAATAGGTATTGTGTTAGCGACATCTATATTTAAAGTTGCTGCAATTTCTGCCATTTCTTTTTTAATTTTTTCAGGCTAAAATGAATAAAAACGATTAAAATCAATTAAAAAACTATTTCTGATGTGGAAAAGTAACTTACATCCACTTTTCCACTACGTAATTCAACAATTCCAATATGACCAGTATGCTTTATAAAAAAAATGATTTGAAAGCGTTAATAGAAGTTTAAGAGGTACTCGAGTTCAATTTCAAACTCGGTTCAGTTTCTTACACAAATTACACTTTATGTACAAAAATACTCACTTGAAAATTAGAAGGAAGACCAATCATTCCCTTTTGGATTTTTTTTTTTGTTTTCGCTATTTTTGTTTTATTCTTAAGGAATTTTACATTTGATAACTCATCATTATTGCCATTATGGTAAGATTGAGAACTAATACCGGTTTCCTTGAGTTGTTTATCTGAGGATAAAGATGCACAATTTCCCATTCTTATTAATCGTAAAAAGATTTTTATTTTATTAAAAAATTAAAAATTAAAAAAAAATTATTAAATGTGTGTTATATATATATATGCAACAAAATAAAAGTTTGTTTGGGGGGGAAGTTTTAGAAATGCAAATAATTTTTATTTTTAGCATACACACAAACAAACTCGCATTGTCTTTTTCTTTATTTAGAATTTATTAGCTTTTACATAAACTAAGTGATACAAGAAAAACTTCGTAGAGAGAGTTTATAATTATTATAATTTACAAAAAGTACGAGCGAACAGAGTGAACAAACGGTGCGAGCGCATAAAGTATATTGACTTTATTAAACTGAATGTTTGGGAAGCCTGAGAACAAAAATCAAGCTTGGAAAGATCACCTGACTTAATTCAATTTTCTTATACGGCTAGACCCGCAATTTCGCCTTGCAGATCTTTCCATTCGTAAGGAACTAATCGCTTATTGTTGTTGTTATCATTGTTATTACGTTCGAGTGTGAACGATTGGCACTCCTTGGTCAATAAGTAAAGGTTTTTTCTTTCAATATGAAAGGGTAAAACATATCACTATAGTTAATAATCTTTGAGGTTTTTCCATCTGCACATAAAAAATTTTTTCAGAAAATAACTTCCAAATTTGGTTAGCATCCCGCCATTTATCAAGTCAAAGATTCCTTATTAATGACTTTTTTCAATTTAATAGATTACATAAATGTGAATCATAATAAATTATATTTCTAAAATAGTTGTTTAATGATAAAGTTGTTCAGCCGCCCCTCCATATTTTATAATATTTTTTTCAGTGTTACCATGCATTGAATTATTCACCGGTAATTAAACAGTTTCAGATATATTAATATATATATATGTATATATATGTATATATATATGCGAAATTGCGTAGTTCATACTTTGAAATCGGCGTTATGGCAACACAGAAGTTGTGACTTGTATTGTACGCGATTGTTTTTCTAAATCTCTTTTTTCTTAACGGAATACAGCCTAGGAATCTAAATATAAAATTGCAGTTATATCAAAAAAAATACTAATTCCCTTCTTTATTTATTCATCTATCCATTCGTCCATCCATTTGCCAATTTATACATATACGTTCCTGTCAGAATAATAGTTTATAAGCGTAATAATAAATAATAAAATAAATAATACATATGAAATTAATCAATTAATACAAACAATTAATTTAATTTGATGTACAGTCAAATCTCGATAAACCGAACTACCATAAACCGATTTTCGCTTTAAATCATATTTAATAAAAATTATTTCGATAAGCCGAATTTTATTATAATTTCTACTTTACTTGATAAACCAAACTTAATGGTTTGTACAAGATAATAAAGATATAGCTTTCTAAGCCGAATATGATCATAAAAATTCGTCTTGCGATGATAAAATTCGGTTTAAAAATGGTCGATCACCCAACAATCAAGTTTAGTCAAGATGATTATTACTAAATTAGGCTTTTAACCCTTTACGTTGCCAGCCCTGTTTGTATCGTAAATCGAATTTTGATAAGCCGATCCTATTTTTGTGATTCCCAAAAGTTCGGCTTATCGAGGTTTAACTGTACCACCAAAAGAAATTGTATGTTTAGATTGGTTGGTATGCATCGAGAACAAAAGATCCTAATACTAATTATATAACTCTGTCACATGTGGCAAAAGATTATTTTTCAATACAGGCTACGAGTGTATATCAAATGAACAAATGTTTAGCATTGCTAAAAATATATTCGAAATAGGTTAGATTCGAAAAAGCACAAGCGAGTAGATCTGGTTTGAAGCAGAAATTGTTTCAATCTAATTTTATGTATTATAATAAAATAATAAGCTGTTTTTAGCTTAAATAATATTACAAATATTTTTATGTTTAAAAAAAAAAGCTTGAGACTTTTTCCGAGGACTTTTTCAAGACTTTAAGTCCCAAGATAGGATTGTTATGACCGATTAACATCTTTAATCAGGAACCCTGACCACAAGATCTAATCTTATAACAAAGGTTTGTTATAAGGGTACATCCCTTTTTGTATATATTACAAACACGATTTTTGGAGTTAGCGAAAAAAATACAATCAATGCAATATTTGACGATAATACTATTCTTGGAAATTTTCGAAAGAAAAGGAAAAAACTGTACACAAAATTGATTGCGTTGTGTATAAACCCGATCATTTTTCACTATCATGATCGTAAGCATTCTTTCAAATTTTTTAAAACGTTCAAAGGCTGTATTTATATAATTATAACAAAAAAAAATATCATTTAATTAAAACAATCTGGAATTGATTCATTACTGTTAAAGGAATCAACTAGGTTTTTTTGAAAATGTAAAGAATATTCTTTCCTGCTACTACTATACTAAAAAGCATAATGGATTAATTTCCTATTAATTTCCTTATTGAACGGGTCAAAACCATGTCTTTTTTGAGAATACTTTTCCCGCCACTAAAAAAACAATAATTTCATTATTGATAAAGGAATCAACCAAGCTTTTTTTGGATGTAAAGAATATTTTTTCCCAAAAAGCATAATAATTAAAAAAAAAGTTAGCCAGTTTTTTTTTTGGCGTTAAATCCAATAAAATTTAATTTTGATCATCAACCAATCAAACGCTCTTCTATATGTAAATAACAATATTTTTATCAAAGAAAACGACAAAAAACAAAAAGATTCAGTATTTTTAAGAAAGGGAAATTCTAAAAAAACAAAAACAATAGTGATCCATTCTACTTATTCTACTTTGAGAATTATCGTCAAACAACAACAATCACCACTGTTGGTGTTACTAATACTAATATTAATACTAATACTAATACCGTAAGTTAAATTCTTTCGTAATTTAGAGGATGAAAATAGCTAAAGCCAAATCATTATAATAGCTAAAGCCAAATCATTATTATAGATAAAAAGGAAAAATAAAAAACTTGTTTTTATTTAGTTTAAGCTCTAGTTAAACTAGATTTTGACTTCTTTATTATCTATTTTTAGACTAATCGATATTGATAAGTAGATTTAACAAACATCTTGTCAACATCTACTACAACGAATACTACTAAAAAAAAAAGAAAATCATGGAAAAAAGAAGTTAATTCAGGTATGAAATTTATGGCGTGCTTAAATTTTATAATATTAAAGAAATGATATTGATGACACTGAAAACAGATCGTTATGCGATTAATACATGATATAAACTCGGAAGCCCCCGTAATCCATATTAATATAATAAAAAAATGTAAATTAACAATTCCAATACACAGACAGACTCGATAAGTCAGCCGCATAATTTATACTATTGAGTACTTTAAACAATTGATTACTGCGGGCTGACTTATCGAGTCTGTCTGTGTACGTACAACACTATTTGGAATGTAATTTTTCTTTATTTGTCAACTTAATAAACATTCTGGTGTTTGACAATTCTTGTTTAAAGTGAAATCTTGAAATAAAAACGCCAAAAGGCGTAAATTCATGTTTGATAATAAATAAGGGTCCGATGAAAATCTGCACGAAATTTAATAATTTCAGTTAATATAAATAAACTAATTATTTTTTTATCATTATTACAATAAAATATATAATAATAATCAACTTACCTTAATTTAATACATATTCTCAATTTAGTTTTATATTATCTGTTATAAAAAGCTCACACAAATACTCAGTTAAATCTTCTTGTTATCTTAATCACTTTTAGCGATTGATTAATAACATAATAAATATTTGTAGGCATTTAACAAGTTTGGACTTATTCCTTCGCTCAAACTAATAACTGTTCACAATACAACACTATTTGGAATGTAATTTTTCTTTATTTGTCAATTCCTTAATAAATATTCTGGTCTTGGACAATTCTTGATTAATTTGGAACAAATAATTGTTCACAATACAACACTATTTGGAATGTAATTTTTCTTTATTTGTCAACTTAATAAACATTCTGGTGTTTGACAATTCTTGTTTAAAGTGAAATCTTGAAATAAAAACGCCAAAAGGCGTAAATTCATGTTTGATAATAAATAAGGGTCCGATGAAAATCTGCACGAAATTTAATAATTTCAGTTAATATAAATAAACTAATTATTTTTTTATCATGAAAAATCAAAAATGGGTGATAATAATAAACCACCGGGTTTTGAAAATTTTAAAGGAAAAATATTTTTTTATGAACGAGATCGTAATGAATATTTTCATAAATCTTATCAATATGCAAAAAGTTCATTTCGTAAGATCAAAGATATGAATCCCAAATTTGTACTGTATCCGGAAGCAACAGATGATGATGATTTTGATGATATTAATATAGCGTTACAATACGCTCAAACAAATAAATTGAAAATTGCTATTCGTACAGGTAAGCGTTATTTTAAGATTAACTGAAATCAAAATAAACTAACACTTAAAATATATAATCTAAATTTACTCACCATAAATCGTTATTACACGTTTATTTTTATAAATATTTATTAAATGTTTCTTAAAGGTGGGCATCAATATTGCGGTGCGTCTTCTACCGGTCGTACAAACATACAATTAGATTTATCTAATACGTATAAGAAGTTTGAGTGGAATGATGATAAAACTATATTAGAAGTTGGAATTAGTTACTCATTGGATGATTTTGCGAAAAAATTAAAAAATGAAGGACGGTTCTTACCGTCAGGTCAATGTGAATATGTAGGGTTGGGAGGACATGTACAAACTGGTGGTTATGGACAACTCGCGAGGGGATTCGGTCTTTTAATAGATTATGTTACGGATATTAGGATTATATCATATGACGAAACTGAATTAAAATATACAGCAAAATGGATTAAAAAAGGTGACGAATTATTTCGTGCTGTCATTGGTGGTAGTCCGGGTAATTTCGGTGTAATTACGCACGTTAAGTTTATGGTTTTAAAGGATGACGATTATCCAAACTCTCGTGGATTTTTTGCAGTTTGCAAATACAACCCTGAAAATTTTAAAAAATTCTTGGATATAATGTTAGAAACCGTCGACGAAGATGATTTTGATTATTGTATTACATTCTTATCCGACACAGGTATAGAAGATAGTGAACATGCCGTAAATAATGATCCATCATATGACGAAACATATAATCAACAAACATATTATGAAAATGTTATTTGGCCAGCTATTATCATCATACACGCTTATCATTATCATCGAGAATACGACGAACAAAAGTCTCCAATCAGTAAAATAAAAGCTGTTACAAAAGAATGGAAAATTACAACAGACACAGACAAGCATGCTCCAGTTTCACAGTTAGTTAACAATTGGATTTTTCTTGTCAGAAGAGAATTTCAATTACAGTATATAAAGCGCGGGTATAATTCCGAATGGGAGGCAAAGAAGTTGGTCGATACTGATTGGTCCGCTTGGGTTACTAATCGTATTAACTTAGCAATATGTGATGGATTGAAAGTTTCAGCTCAATTCAAATACTTTGGTGGTAAAAATTCCGAATTTTATAAGAAAGGTATAGAAAACCAGGATAAAACATCTATTAGTTGGCGAGAGATGAATTTTTCATTTACATTTGACGTATTTTTCGAAAAAGAGAGATTTCAATTAGCAAGCGAGTGGCAAAGAGAAAATGATAAATGTATTTCAGTGACTAATCCTATATTCAGTGATAAAGATATTCGTTTGTTATGGGCTTCTTATGACTTAAGTCTCGATTATTTTCATGATCGTTATTATGAAACTGAAGCCAAATATAAAAATTTATGTGAATTAAGAAAGAAATATGATCCCGATGAAATTTTTATTCCTAATCATTTCTGTGTTGGTGTAAAGAATGAAGCGCCAAAAGAACTTTTAAAAGCTATATTAGACAATAATGGTGACAAATTCGACAAAATGCCAAAGCTAGGTACTCCAATTTGGGATACATGGTAATTAATTTTTTTTTATTGATTTTTAAATGTAAAATCTTCTATTTATAAAATCGACTAGTTTTTTCTTTTTTATCAATGTTATCTGTTACATTTAATATTCTCAATTTTTATTTATAAGTAAAACATTACAAATTTTCAAAATTTTATCTTGGCATTAAATTTTTACTTAACAAGTTATTCACCTTGCTATAATATATAATATTGTAATGATTATTATCATGTGATCGATTTATAATGTGATACAGCAAAATTTAACATTATTATTCTCATTTGCTAATTCTAATACATTTACTTATTCAATACACTTATTTAATATTAAAAAAGCTATTACTATCTAATATTGATTGTCGCCGATGCGAATTAAAAATCACTTAAATTGTTTACAATGCAAACAAGAATGTTGTTCTTATTCACAAAGATGATCGTATTACAAACATTATTATAATTAATTCGTGCTCCGTGAGACAACTGCAAAATTTTGCCGATCATTAGTATAATTTTGTGGCGATAATAAACAATATAATTTTTAGAATTTTTGGAATATGACCGTTCCTCACGTGATTAAGCATGATTACGCGCGACATTAAAATTTAAAATTTTGAATAATTATTGGCCATTTACTTGGTGTATACTAAACAACAATAACCAATCAAACAATGAAACTTCGTTCATATCAAGTCATATCAAGGCATTTAAAATTAAAAAATTAATTGAAGCACTACCTACAATTGAAATTTTAAAAGCAAGAAGACCTGACATATATGATAAAATTGGTTATGTTGTGTTTGCAACAATGAAAAGGAAAATTTTAATCATATCTGGTTATGTTCCCAACAAAGAGAT